GGTGCTACAACACAGCAATGCAGGGATCTCGGTCAAAGTAATTTTACAAAAACACAAACACTAAACTGCTGAGAGCGTCGCCGAGAGTGTACGTTTGCGGATTGTTGTTGTTGGTAAACGAAAAACGAAAGTGCAAGGACTTTGAGGCGCCTGCGCGTCTAATGGCGGGAAATCAACAAGCGTTGCCTGCACGTGTGTCCATACGCGTGCTTAACTTGCCTGTCGTCCTTCGGGCCTGCTGCTGCCAAATGTCGGTCGTGCAACAAAGTTGCGCTCATTCTCTCCCACTCTCACTCGCTCTCTCTTTCAATCTGTCTCTCCAGGACGGTCGTTACGTTTACTTGGTGGTGGTTTGTTTTGACTGACGTCACAAAACCGATGACATTGAGTGCAACTTTGTTGCTGTCTCTCGGTCAGCGCATGTGAAGCAATAATGTTGCATCCGCATGCCGATGTGGAAGAGGGCATGCTTGTGCCTGGCCTGGCCTGGACTTGCCTAGTAATGCCTGCGTTGTTGTGCTTTCTTTCATAATATTTACAACACAAACAAAAACACGCCCACTTGCCGTCGCATTCTCTAGCTTCGACTCTGTTAGCTGACTGCAAATTTCTCTTCGTGCAATTTTTGCCGGCTGCTGCTGCTGCCGCTGCCGCTGATTTTATTGGGGCTGCCGCCGCGTCGCTTACAACTTTGTTAACTTCGGGACTTTGGTGTATGCAGTCGGTATTGAGGACAGTAACCGGGACGAAGTTACTTTGTTGCGCATTAATTGATTTTTTCGGGCCAAGTTTTTTCTAAACCAAAGTAATAAATCGCTGCAAAAGAATCAAAGAAAAAGAATACAAATTGTGAGTTTCTATTTATTTGAAGGTAAATTGACATCTGTTAACTACACAAGATTTATGTGAAACTTAAACAAAATATATATATAATATAAATTATATTATTAAATTACAAAATTAAATTATATTCATAAATTATTAAATTATTGTGATATTAAGACTGGCTTTAATAAGTAATATACATATATATATTTGGTCTTCGGTAGAAAGTAACTTGTACTTTTCTTATCTTTGCAGGCAATGTAGTTTCTCTACAAGCTTTTTATAAGATATACTTATATATAAATATAGATTCATAGACGTAAACTGTATACAACATTCCATTTGGTGTAGTAAACTAATTATGGATACATGAATTGAGGTTCTGCACGGACTGGAAAGTAACGACGGAAACGGCGAAGGGGGCAGGAAGTAAGCAAAAGTCAACCATGTCAACGAACCCCAACCAACAGCAACATGCACCAACTACAACAGCACCAGCAGCGGCAGCGGCAGCGATAGGCAATCGGGACAGAGAGAGGGCTGGGTGCAGAGAGAGGGCTGGGTGCAGTAGCTCACAGCGCAACTTGCTCGAATTTCTGTGCATTTGTGTTGCATGCGTCGTCTGTTATTACAACAGCACGCAGTGTGGACTGGTGTTCGACGATATCAGCGCGATAAGGGACAACAAGGATTTGCGGCCGAGCACGCCGCTGCGTAATGTGTTCCTTAACGATTTCTGGGGCACGCCGATGCGCAAGGAGCACTCACACAAGTCCTACAGGCCCCTTACAGTGTTGACGTTTCGCTTTAACTACTTGCTGCACGCATTGGACCCGTTCGGCTACCATCTCGTCAACCTGCTGCTGCATGTTGCCGTCTGCCTGCTGTGGCGTCGTGTCTGCCGCCTTCTGCTGCGTCAGTGTGCGACTGGTAGTAATGAGATGCCTTCCGCATCCGCGTCCGCGTCCGTGTCCTCGCTCAACACATGCGCTTTTGTCGCTTCGCTCCTATTTGCAACACACCCGGTGCACACCGAGGCCGTTACTGGCGTCGTAGGCCGCGCTGAATTGCTCTCTTCAATATGCTACCTGGGCGCGTTTCTCAGCTATGCGCACGCAACGGGTGGCTCGCCTCGGCGCACGAACTGGGCCTCGCTTTGCCTGTGCTTTGGCAGTTGCCTGCTAGCCTCCATGTTGTGCAAGGAGCAAGGCATCACGATAGCTGGCATATGCGCCGTTTACGAAGTGTTCGTGGTGCAGCAGGTGCGGCCGCTGCACCTGTGCCAGTTTGTGCTGCGTATGTTTGAGGAACAGCCGCCGGCCAAGCTGGGACAAGCCAGTGCACGACGCTGGTCGTCGACACTATGGAAGCGTTTAGCCTTTATTGCGCTCATCACCGTCGCATTGCTGGTCGGACGTGTCTACGTGATGGGCTCCCAGCTGCCAATCTTCACCCGCTTCGATAACCCTGCCTCGGCAGCTGCCACGCCTGTGCGCCAGCTAACCTATGGCTACCTCATCTACCTGAACTGCTGGCTGTTGCTGTACCCGTCGCTACTCTGCTGCGATTGGACTATGGGTGAGTTGCACGCACTGTAGATTGTGTCCATACTATAAGCTAAATCACAAAAATCTTGCATTGCAGGCACCGTGCCCCTGCTAGAGGGATTTGCAGATCCTCGAAACTTGGCTACCTTGTGCACTTTTCTTGCACTTGGCGCGCTGGCGGCGAAGGCTTGCTTTTCACGAAATATATCGCAGTCACGCACGCTGCTCATGTGCCTCGGCTGGATAGTGCTTCCCTTTTTGCCCGCCTCGAATCTATTTTTCCCGGTGGGCTTCGTGGTGGCCGAGCGCATTCTTTACATGCCATCGATGGGATACTGCCTAATGGTTGCCTACGGCTATCATCAGTTGCAGCGGCGATGGCGTTCGCATTGGGGGCTTCTGGCGCAGACGGCGCTCATTGCGCTGCTGCTCGCGCACGGGCTGAAGACACATCAGCGCAACTGGGACTGGCGCACGGAGTACTCGCTTTTTATGTCCGGGGTGCATGTGAACCAACGCAATGCCAAACTGTACAATAACGTGGGACACGCACTGGAGAACGAGGGGCGATACGACGAGGCTCTGATGTACTTCCAGCAAGCCGTTCACATACAAACAGATGACATTGGCGCCCACATTAACGTTGGTCGCACCTACAACAACCTCAAGCGCTATGCCGAGGCGGAGCAGGCTTACATGCGTGCCAAGGCGCTTTTCCCGCAGGCCAAAGCCGGTGTTAGCTACCACGCACGGATTGCGCCCAATCATTTGAATGTTTTTATTAATCTGGCCAATCTGATATCCAAGAATCAAACAAGGCTGGAGGAAGCCGATCATCTCTACCGACAGGCAATTAGTATGCGCAGTGACTACGTCCAGGTGAGACATTAAAGCAATAACAGTTATTTAGGTTATATTGATACTAGTGTAACGCTTCATGTTGCAGGCCTATATCAATCGGGGCGACATTCTTATGAAGCTCAATCGCACAGCTCAAGCACAGGAGGTTTATGAACAGGCGCTCCTTTATGATAGCGAGAACGCGGATATCTATTACAATTTGGGCGTTGTGTTCCTGGAACAGGGAAAAAGTCAACAGGCGCACGTATACTTCAACAAAGCCATCGAGCTGTATCCGGAGCACGAGCAGGCACTGCTCAATTCGGCCATACTTCTGCAGGAACTCGGCGGAGCGGAGGCGCGGCAATTGTCACGTGCCCGCCTCTACCAGGTGTTGGCTAGAGATGCGAACAATGAAAAGGTTTACTTCAATTTGGGAATGCTGGCCATGGACGAGTTGAGCTTTGACGAAGCCGAGCAATTCTTCAAACGTGCTATCCACCTGAAGTCGGACTTTCGCAGCGCGCTCTTTAATTTGGCACTGTTACTGGCGGACTCGAAGCGGCCGCTGGATGCAGTGCCTTTTCTTAATCAATTAATCCGCCACCATCCCACTCATGTGAAGGGTCTAATACTGCTGGGCGACATATATATCAACCACATGAAGGATCTGGATGCGGCAGAGAAGTGCTATCGCAGCATTCTGCAGCACGACCCGCGCAATACGCAGGGCCTGCACAATCTCTGCGTGGTTTTCGTGGAACGCAAGTGGATGGCCAAGGCGGCAGCCTGCCTCCAGTTCGCTCAACGACTAGCGCCCGGCGAGGATTACATTGGACGCCACCTCCAGATTGTGAACTCACGCCTGCAAAAAATCAACAAGTTACCTGATACGTCGCCCGAGCGACAGTTAGCTTACAAGGACTACGACCCACTCGAGTTCAGGCCAGCTGATGATGTCCTTAGCTTGTAGCAGTTCCCATCATCAGGTTATTCCACATTTGCGAAGCATTTCGTCTAGTTTAAGTACACATTATATAGCAACCCAATTGTACATTCCCCAAGGATATTTATTGAATCTCGTTTGAACTGCCGTTCAGCTGATACAAACGTGGCATGTATACGGACAGCTACGACAGTTTTCAACAAAGTACGTAATCACAACCTGACCTTGTTTTGTATATAGAACAAATTCTGTATAAGTAAAAAGTACTACCGAAATCTTGCATTTATTATATACAAATGAAATTGTACTTAATGGCACTAAATAAAATCATCTGTACTTAAATGCGCATAGCACTTGGTTTTTTTCAGTTCAGCCATGAATTATGTGAAGTATAAAATCCGGCACAACTCGATATGGTATATACAGCTGTTTTATTTATGGTCACAATTAAAGAAAATCGCGATAGGCTTGGGATGTGCAAGTGAGGCTCGATGAAGCCCAAGAACAAGGTACGTCAAGTCTAACTATCAATACAAATATTTGAAAGAAACATCTTATTAACCAAAACTCAAAATAAATGACATAATTAAAGAAAATTGTCTCGACAACAAAAGTTTCTCCATGGATTTAAGGTCGGGCTTTTCAAAAATGTTCCATGCACGGGGCGAGGTATTTTATCTCTAGCTTGAGATGCAGTTAATAATATTTGAATTCCAGGTTGGCTTCAAAACCGGGCTACAGCTTTAAAAAAAATGTCAAATAGAGTTTAGTATATTTTACACATTTTTTATATATTTGATTTGATATACATAAATACATGTTGAAAAATAATTACTTTTTAAATCAGATTGTTGCTTAATTATAAAAAGAGCTCGGCACAAATAGTAATGCTCTCTTATCGACTAATAGTAATTGTTTTTGACATAGATACATTATTATAAACAGTTGTTAAGATACACATATGTACCTATAATATTCGTTTCGAGCTGTATTCAAATTATAAAATCGATATACTTATGAAATGTTTTGATTTTTAGCTTTTGATTCGTTTATGGATTTGAATTTGTGGGGAATCATACAGAGCTGTTGTGCTATTCTTTGCTAAGGCTCCTTAGAATATCGGTGAGCATATTTTTCTGAATTGTTAATTTACAATAAATACATTTAGATATTTTTGTTTTATGTTGTTTTGCCTACTGTGCCGCATGCAAACAATGATGAGCACTTCGACTGACTAGAATTTTAGACTATGTTTGTTAAATATTTAAAAAAAAATAATAATAAAGTACACTTAAATACAAATGAAGGTGCTAATATTTGTACAAGAAACACTTGAGTACTCAAGATGCAGTTGAAGCAATTTATGTATTTGGAGGCAGTTTGATAGGTGACAAATGTATCTGTTCTTTTGATAGACTGCCCCTTAAATTTGATCTGTAATCTCCTAAACAACTAGCGAGAGTGCACAGCAAAATGTTTAAAGGTTTATTATTGAAAAGATATACTTGAAGTTGAAAGTAAAGAAATATGTTTGAAAGATATACCTGAAGAAGATATATAGTTGAAGTGCTTAAATATTTTGCTGTGGCTATCATTTTTTTATTTAATCTGTATTCCTCTCATGAGAACTGTAAATTTCGGCATAGTTTTGGTCTTGTAGGGTGTTTGTTAAATCTATGTTCCACTAATTTGCCTGCATCTCTACTAACACACATACGCATATATATAATAGCATAGTTCTTGATATTGTTAGAAAGTAATTAGAATCGTTATTTAAAGTATTTTTGCCTGATACGAGCCTCTGCGTTTATGATATTTCTTACATTCTATACTAGTTAGGGTATGCAAAGTCGAGCTGTTTGTCGTATAAATAAGGCATCCGTAACTGCGCTCCGTTGAATAGTTGTAACAGGGATTCGGTCATGGTTCACTCGCAGGCGATTTTGCCATCGAAACTGCTGAGCGCTATGGCGAAGGCCTGCATGGCGCAGAGCGGATAGCGATAGTCCATGGTGAACACATCCTCGGATGTGCGGCCAAATTGCATGACTATGTATTCCGGATCGGAGTCGTGCACCAACTGAAAGTTCTTGACAGACGCTTGCGTGACGCGACCGTGAAAGTTGAGCACATAGGATTGGGTCTCGTCGTTCCAAACTGGCGTCTTATTGTGCAGCTCCACAATGTTGTCCATGCTCTAAAGCAAAAGAAAGAATTAGAGTATTGGAAAATGGCTGCAAAGTGCCGACTCACCTTCATCTTCCACAAATCGAGTATGCCCTGCTGTTTGGGATCCGCTGAGCTGATCTTGACGCGCTGGTCGTCCTCAGTCATGCCAGGCAGTATCACGGTCATGTTGCGCGGTCCCTTAAAGCCCAGAATGTTGGTGTCCTGCTCATGAAAAGGCGAATTAATTATTGGAGGAGTTGATTCAGGATTGGGATTCAGATGATACTCACGTAGATGATCACTGCCAAATCGAGTCGCGGACTTTCTGTGCTGTCCTTGTTGCCACTGTCGAATACCGTGAAGGATGTGCCGAACACATTGGAGCGCAGCTTGCCGCAGAAGCCATCTGCGTTGCGCGACAGATCGGTGGGATCGCAGCTAACAATATAGTTGGATGTTTTGCTCTTCTTCCGCTTGCGCCCTTTAAGAGAAGGAACAGTAAAAAAAAGAGCTTGCCTTTGACTTAGGCGGGCCAAACTTACCGCCCAGCAGAAAGATTTTTTTGCCGTAGTCCCGCTCCAGATGCAGATAGTAGATGGGGAACAGGCCGCGGTCCATGCCCTTGCGATCTCGTGTGATGCGGCACTTGTAGAGCACACCTTGCGGCGCCGGCTGCATCACAAACTGATCGATGTTGCCTATGACGTCGCCTTCGGATTCGCCGCTGCCAACGCCGCTGCTGCTGCCGTTGGCTATTCCGTTGCTGCCCTCCGGCGCGACGCCGTCCTTGTAGGGCGAGGCGATGCCGGCGGGGCGCACTGGAGCCACGCCCGCTATGTTGCGATTGGCATAGTCTTCATCTTCGTCCAGGGTCTCGTTGAAGGATTGCTGGCCGTTGCGTAGCCGCCGCGAATGCGCCGAGTTGGCACTTTGCGGCGGCAGCGGATTCTCAACGACCGTCACGGGACTGCTCTCTTCGTCCTCCAGCTCGTGCGACGAGATCTCCTCGATTAAGTCTGCAATTCGATGGAAGGCATTAGCTAAATTCGGTGCCTGGCCTGGGCGTGGCCAGAACTCACCTTCTTGGTTGACGGTGCTTAGGCTGCGCAAGTTGTTCGAGTTGTTGCGGCTCGAGTTCAAGCTGCTGGACAAGTGGACACTGGAGCTGTTGTTGCTCAATATCTGATCCGGGTTATGTGGCGATCCTATAAACTGCATGGGACCATCGTAGGCGTGCAGCTCCCGGCTGTTGCCACGCATTCCGGACATCGGCCGAGTCATCTGCAGGTCGCTGGCCTGCACCATGCCGGGCGAGGCGCGCTTCTGCCGGATGTAGGCGTCCATCAGCTGGCGCTGTAAACAATAATTAATACTTTAAATAAGGCTTTCATAATATTCAATTTTGTTGATGCAGTTCATGTTGGCTGTCTCAGAAATCTTATCTGAAAATATTCTTGATTATAGCCATGCAGGATACACGGGGCTAATCTTCTTATACCCCGAACCCATTGAAAATAGGTAAAAAGGGTATTATGTATTTGTGCAAATTTATGTAACTGGCAGAAGGAGGCATCTCCGAACCCATAAAGTATATATATTCTTGATCAGCATCAATAGCCGAGTCGATCTAGCCATGTCCGTCCGCCTGTCCATCCGTCCGTCTGTCCATCCGTCCGTATGTATGAACGCAAGGATCTCAGAGCCTATAAGAGCTAGAGACTTGAAATTTTAGCTGTAGGTCCTCCTAGTCCACGCGCAGATCGAGTTTGTTTCCGATATTCGATAACTTGCCCCGTTTTAAAATTATCGATAAAAATCGATATATATATTATGAGCTCCCGACTAGAAACTCTTACTTTTTTAAAATATTACTTTGAACTTTAACAATTTATTATTAACTCGAATTTTTATTTTTATTTTAAATATTTTTTGTGGGCCATATTTTAGCACTTCCAACAGCTAAAGCGATAAGAACCATAAAATATTTGAATATCTTTATGACTGCATAGACGTAAATATATAATTCTGATTTTGTTAATAATAAATGTTTGGCACTCATTTAAAAGTTCGCTTGTCATTTCCGTGCTTTGTTTTTAAATCTAAGCAAAAAACAAGTTTATTACCCATGAAAAACATGTAACCTAATCAGCTACTCGAGAGTGCTGACTACAAAATACTCTATACCCAGTTGGAGAGTTCTATCATGCATATTCGTGCCTAGCAAATAAACTAGTTTTGGCCCTCATAGATTTGAACCCGCAACTCACATTTTGTATGCCATGAACCGAACGTTAAACTGGATTAGTTGAATAATCGATCAATTGGAACTAATTCTTAAAATCTTTTGTTTTCTTTTTTATTATTTTTGGCATTACTCTGAGGTCGTTTCAATACTCTGAAAATTGAATATGAAAAACCAAGTTGAATAATTAGGAAATTGAATTGTTCTATTAAATATTCAAAGGACACCCGTTTAAATAGAAGGGGAGAACCCGGCTCAAGACCTTAGGTAAAGCTAAATGTGTTTATATACAAAAATTCCAATTTATCCTGAAAAAGAATATGTATATAGCCACTGAGCATGCTTTGTACAGAGTATCTGCTAGTTGAGCACTGTCGATTATAGCATTTTCCTTTTAGGTCATTTTTGCTTGGCTTGTCGAAATTTTATATAATTTTTTTCATGGAACTGCTTTTTTCCGAGCGTGAGTTTAATAAAAAAAAGCCCAGTTTGTTTAGCATTAAATATTTGAAGGGGAAGGAGAACTAATTAATGCATCGGTTCACTCAGAGACCTATTTGCGAATAAGCTGAACTTCAATTGGTTACGGGAACTACCCCGATTTTTCCGACTACGCAATTATAGTTAATGCATTCAAAGTAGATTCATATTTGCTCGAATGTAATTAGAGCTAAGTTTAGCTGCCAGTCAATTAGCAAAGCAAATAAAATAAGACGCATAATTATACAAATACGAGCACATTCAAAGGTGAATGCATGTGCATAGAGATGGCCCCCTTTTCAGTCTGAACTCTGGGCCTTGTGATATTAATACACTCACCTACACACTTATGTAACTGCGGATGCATTGTGATCCATTTCCAAGTGTGGGGGGGTGGGGGTGAATGCAGGGGGGGGGGGGGGCGGACAATGCAATTGCATCACAGAAAATGACCGCAGGGCAAACCGCGACGCCTTCGCTGAAAGAGGCGATTGACCAGTTGGGGAATGGGGCCCGGGGCCCGTTCGTTTTTTGTGGAACGGAATGACGCGACATGTCACGACATGAGAGCGGGACAGCTGGGATTGCGACTGGGGCCAGTTGATGGCAATGATTTCATTAAACATTTAAATTTCAAGTTCAGCGTGAAAAACAAAGCGAGAAATGCAAACAAATTTAGCGAACTGCGATGTTTATATGCATCTCTTTTATTTTATCAAGGCTTTTTTGTGGAACCGATTTGTACCAGGAATCAAGCCTGAACTTAGCTTAAAAGTATATAGTAAAAAATATATATATATATAAATATAATTATTTGATTCATGTTGATTCAAATAGTTGTATTGAGTATTGGAATAGTTGAAGAAACCAAGGTTCGAGTCTGGGCTCAAACATGCACTCGAACCGAGCCTTAACCCAACCTGCGAACATGTTTGTTTGGGTTCGCAATCATGTTCCATATTTTTACAATTACAGATTGTAATTTTTGAATAACCAGCCCTTCTTTTTCTTTTTATATTATTGATATTCGAAAGACCATTTGGTTTTTTAATCAACTGTTATTTGACTTTTGACAGCGCTTTTATACCTTTTATTTTGTCATCCTCGTCCTTTGAGCTGAAAAAGTTATCTGCAAAAGGATTTATTTCTGCGCTGATGCACAACGAGCGTTGCGCAAAAGTTTTCTTCATTTTTGTTTCTCAAGTAGGAAAAGGCAATTATGTGAAAATTTCAAATCCTTTCCCTTTTATTGCAGCAAGAATTGGACAGGGGACAGGCAACAGGCAACAGAAGCTCGCGCGGACACGTACAACAATCAGGAAGCTGACGGGAAATCGGAAATGGAAAATGAGCACGCCTTGCAGTTAAAAAATAAGAGAAACGAGCAACAGTTTTTTAGAGAAAGTACGTTTATTGCTTGGCGTTAGTATCAAGTACAAAGTAGAAGGAGAAGCTAGAGAACGTTTACATTGTTCAGGACACTGTCGATGGTGACATTGGAGGCGCGGTGCTTGTTAGCGGGCGCACACTGTAGCTGGAAGAAGTCGGGCAGGTCGAGTTCCGCTTCGAAGGCTCCGGTCTTGCTGGGGGGCAGCCAGAGGTCCATGCGATCGTAGATGACAGCATCGGGGCCCTGCTGGATAAACCAATCGATTGACTCGCGATCCTTGATGTCAGATCCCCAGAGCAACAGCAGCGGCAGCTGGGACTTGGCCCGCTGCACGAGCGTGGGATCGGTCTTGAAGAACACGGCGTTGGGCACAATGCCGGCCAGATCGAAGGCCTGGGCAAAATTGATGCTCTGCTCCACGGTGCTGGTGCGCGGATCGGCATAGACATTCTCCTTGCTGCTGGTGAGGAAGAGGACCGGATACATGTTCTGCTTGAAGCGCAGCAGCGTGCACAGATCCGCATCGAAGCTCTTGAGGATGTTGAGGCGACCACAGCCATAGCGCTGCACCACCTCCAAAATGCGGTCCACAAACAGATTCTTGTCGATCGTCTGGTCGCTCTCGTAGGCGCCGTCGGATTGCAGTTGGGGCCATTTGATCTCAATGTCGAATCCAACGCTGAGGTTCACCCGCTCAAAGAAGTCCTGCAGCGTGGGGAAGAGGCGCTGTTCCACCTGCTCAACATTGCTATGAGCCGGATACTCAATGATCTTGTTGCCAACGATCTGGTAGGTCTTCACCTGCTTCAGCTGCTCGTAGGTAATGTCTTTGATCAGCACCTCGGTCAGATCGTTGCGCGTAGTCGGCGTCTTGGAGTCAATGCATACGCGTATGGAATAGTCATGATGAATGATCGGCACCAGGTCGCTGGTCAGCTGCACATCGAACTCGACCAGATCGGCGCCCAGCTCGCCGGCCTTCAGCATGGAGCCGAGCGTGTTCTCAATGAGCGGTGCCGCCGACGTCGAGGCCAGCGACAGGCTTTTGCCCAGCCCACGATGGCCGATCTCCAGCGCTGTCCAGTTGGCCCGCCAATAGTTGACGAAGCTGGTGCGGAAATCTGTGCTGCCATTGGCCATGGGACGCACCACAAGGTACTCAAGCTGCAGTTCGCCCACCACGCGCTGCCACACCGGGGATATTAGTTGCAGGGTCAGGTTGCCATCGCTGCCCGCCAGAAAGCCTGGCTGCAGGTGAGCGTAGCCCAGCAAGCGCACCAGATCCTGTTGCTCGCCATAGACCTCCAGCTGGTAAGCCACCTGCTGTAGCTGATCCACCGTCACATGGAACATGAGCAAGTCCCTGTCCTGCGCATAGGGCACGCCGTACTCTGGCTGCGGCCGGAGTATGCTGTCGGCGTAGACCATGCGTACGTACTCCACGTTGGCTGCTGCCGAGCTTAGAATGGGCGACAGGGTATCCGGATGCACTGGCTGCAGGCGCAACCGCAAGCTGGCTGCATCCGGCACCGTCTGCTCCTCCAGGCGCAGCGCTTGCCGGAACACCTTGAGCTGCACAATCGAGCCAGAGCTCTGCAGCCAGCCGCGGGTCAGCTGCCGCTCACCATCGATGCTGCCCAGCTCGTCGGATCGATTGCCTGGCAGCTTGGTCGTATTGAATGCGTGGGGCAAGACGTGCGACTCCCAGCGACGCACCTGCACGCCGCCGGAACGCGACACGGCCGCAACAAAGTAACGGTACTCGACACTGCTGTTCTGCGGCAACAGCACCGATCCCGTCCAGACATTGTGCACGTCCGTGCGATTCAGGAGAACGGCCCGATCCGCATGCCAGCCGCCCAGCGCGGCCAGATTGCCGACCAGCGCGGGCCGCTCATGGGATGCCAGCACGTCCTCCTTGGCGACGGTTAGCGTGAAATTGAAGATCAGCGGCGAGTTGCGCTTCAGCGGCACAAAGCGACGCGCGGCATAGTATTTCTCGTAGTACGAGTCGCTGTCACAGTGCACGGCCACGGACAGCAGGCAGAGCACGCTCAGCCAGGCGATGGCCAGCGCCACGAATGTTTTGCACCTGGACATGGCAGGCGGTCTGAGCACGGCGACGACTGCGTTGCGACTATGAACCGAGCTGGCGGCACTCGAGCTGCCAAGTGCTTTTGGTGTTCTCTGCGCCTCTGCGCACACTTATCACACATATCACACGGGCGCTCGAGAGATTTA